TAAATTTCAGTCCAGTAAGAAGAAGAAGTGATCCTAGGGAAAGTCTTGTTAGAAAAGGAAGTGGTTGGTTATACTTGTCCACTCCTGCCTTACATGATGCAATGTTGTTACGCTGGGGGCATAATTTTGTAATTGGAGTGAGTGGGTTCGCTAAATGGCTGCCCCCGTAGAGCTGCCTGTTCACAGAATAACTGCTGTGTTGAGTAGGACCAGTTGCAAAAAAGGTTGACAAAATATTCGAGCCCATCAGGATATCCTGCAATGTTTGGGGGCTCAAGTCACTGCTGTGAAGAGTGCTAGACGGCGATGGTTGGCCAGTGTCCTTTTACATTTATTAAACGTCTCAGATGGTCCTAGCATCTGATGGACAGCAGAGTGGTTCCATGCCACGAGGAGGCCCACAGGGAGAACATTCTTGTGGTGTCTCCAGGGGGTGTCCAGATTCTGGATTTGTAGAAAGGGTGTGGATTCTCTTCCTTAACGTTGCAGCTTCTTGTGTCACTCAACTGGCCCAAGGAGATGGGGAACCCAGATGGAGCCCTGAAATTGCTCTGCTTCCTTTTTTCTGTTCTAGAAGGCATGTAAATGAGTAAGGTCATTTATGGAGAGCCAGTTTGGTCTAGTGGTTAAGGCACCAGGCTAGAAAGCAGGAGATGCTGAGGTCTAGTCCTGCCTTAGGCATGAACGCTGGCTGGGTGACCTTGGGCCAGTCCCCCTCCCTCAGCCCAACTCACCTCACAGGGTTGTTGTGGAGAAAATAGGAAGAGGAAGGAGTATTAGGTATGTTCACCACCTTGAGTTATTTATTAAAAAATAAGGGTAGAATTAAATCTAAAAAAAAAAGGTCAAAATTTCAAGTACCGCAACCATCCTGTCTTGCAACTTGATCTGTGCCCTCATTCTCTGCTCCCTTCCCCACATCCTTTCAGCTGTGACTTTGTGAACGAAGATGAAGCCCACATGTTAGGGAAGTTACAGCTGTACCTAGGCCATATCAGACACCTGAAGATTATACTGCACCAGTCCTTTGAGTTAAACCGAAGACTTGTCACCAGAATCTTAGATATGTTGGCCTGGAAGAGTTCCAAGCTGCAGGCGCTGTGCATTATATGCCAAGGGAAGAGTCCTTACTTCTATTCTGGCCAAGATATCCTGCAAAGTGTCCGGAGGCTTTGCCAAAGCGTGCAAAAGATTGATCTGCATTATGTTGATTTCCGGCAAATGCCTTTCACCCTGGACAACGGGACAATGATTCTTCTTGCTTCCAGCAGCCCTAACCTGCATACTTTGTTGATCAACAACCGAGCTCCTGGGCTGATCATCCTGAAACCTGAGACAATGGTTGAGGTGGTGAGGGTTTGCCCCAAGCTTTCTGTTTTAGGACTGTATTACGCCAACCTCTCTCAAGATCTCTTCCAAGAATTGGTGAAGCCAAGCCGGGGGCCATTCAAGTGCTTGGACGTTTACTACAAAGGCTTGGACAAGCGCATTCCTGAAGAAGCTTGGGCAATGGTGAGCAAGAGACACCCACAATTCCATGTGAAGTTGGAATTTGCTTCGAAGGTCCCCATCTACAAGGTTTCCGGTATCCTCAAGGCAACTGTCCCCATTACCTCTCTGCAGTTCAATTCCTTTAATCACGCACCTGATCAGATGAGGCTGGTCACCAACTGCTGCAGCCCGACTCTGGAGAGGCTCATCCTGTGTGCAGCTCCTTCAGATGCCCTCAACTCCTCCCTGATCCAGCTGGCGAGGAGCTGTTTGCACCTGAAGGAGCTGCACTGTTACTGTGTGGTCAGCCAAGCTGTGATTGATGCATTTCTCTTGCACTGCCCTGGTTTGAGAAGTTACACTCTGTCCACTGAAGTCTTGTCCAGTATTCCCCCAATAATGTCATCCTGACACGGGCAGAGTGCAGATGAATATCCCCAATTCATAAATGCAAAATGGTTTTTGCTATAAAGGATATGATGTACTTTCTCTTTCTTCCCAGGGTGTGAGCAATTTAAATAAAATTATTGTTTTATTTAAATGGCTTTCCTTTATTTTGATACTATTGTATGGATACATTTTATAAATAGCCTGATCCAGGAACTTTCATAAAGAAAAAAAATCTCTATATATCCACAGTCCCTCATGGAAAGGAAAGCACAGAATCGCTGTGAACAATGCAGAACTTTATTTGCTCTGCATTCTGGGTTTTTTTATTATACAGCTGCAGATTTTAATATTTTCTAACTCTTGTATAGTTATTTTCCAAATACGGTAATTTATGATTCACAATAAAGATGTGCATATAATGAACATTTTATAGTTTTCTTTAACTATTGCTGTTCCCTTAAATACTCGCCTGAGCAAAATGTCACTTTTTTTTTTAATGCAGGTTAGGGTTAAGTCAAAATCAGAGATGCAGAGCCTGCCTACTCAAGGTTTTAAATAGCCTCAGAGCTTCTCTAGATCTTGGTGCTGAACTGTGATTTCTAATGACATAAAATTGCTCAGTTTCCACAATGGAAGATTATTTTGTCATTCCATTTTTAACTGCATTGAAATTAAAGTTCTTTCTAGAGATATAGTGGTATGTGGGAATGACAGGAGGAAGAGCTACAGACTAGGCAACAGCCAGATAAGAGGCAGTTGAGCCTACGGAAGGAATGAGGATGTGGCAAATGTCTCAGAAGGGAGTCCCCCTAATTTCTTGGGACTGTAAAAGCGAGGGAGGAGAGATGTACTTTCAGAATTGCAAGATTGTTAATGTAACCTTATAGTAAAGACAGAGCTGTTATTCATTTTTGTGCTTCTTGTCTGGACTATCCCTGAGAGGCTAACATCAATCTTGCAAGTCTGAAAGTATTTCTCCTCTTCTCTCCTTTTACTCTGTGGAAAACTAGAGAGGGTCCCTTCTGAAACACTTCCCACAACCCCCATCCCTTTCTGTGAATGAAACACTTCCCACCCCCATTCCTGTGTCTGGACCGATATGTCTTTTACACGCTGGTTGTCCAGTCTGCGGCTCTCCCTCTTGTCTCCCAAGGTCACTGCCACATACCATTTCAGGAGAATGGCCTCTGACATGCCACTAAAAGATTAAGTGCATTCTTCAGCCCCCAAATGGTGGTGCACCCCTACTTGGAGGAGGAGGAGCGTGACGCAAAAAATAAAGTAATGCAAGTTCTTAAGGGTCTATTAATAAAGTGTCATTTATTTATAATTTAAGAGGGCTTACTGTAAGGAAACTTTCTGCCTTCTCAAACTGCTGCTCAAGTGCATAATCAGATATGTCAGAATTGGGGAGGATGTTGGAAGGGCAGGTTGAGGTCAAGAAGTCCCACCTCCTATAGTGCAGGTATCCAAATTCAAGTATCCCAGATAACTGGCTGTCCAGCCTTTGCTTGAACACATCCAATGGAGTGTCCGCCATCTCTGTGGTTTTCTGGTCATCATCAAACTCTCCTTCCTGTTAGGAAGTTATTTTTCTGACATTCAGTTGGAATTAGTCTTTCCATAATTTAAATCTATTATTCAAAGACCTGAACTCCTGACTTTCTAGATCAGTGTTTCTCAACCTTGGCAACTTTAAGATGGGTGGACTTCAGCTCCCAGAATTCTGGCTGGGGAATTCTGGGAGTTGAAGTCCACCCATCTTAAAGTTGCCAAGGTTGAGAAACTCTGGGCTAGACTGATGTAGGATTTAAATTGGGATGAGGTTCATTCAGGGGAAAGGGAGGGAAAGACAGGTTGGTTATGCAAATATATGTGAGGCAGATTAGCCGTACCTTGTCAATTAACAACTGTAATTTATTAAACACCCATGGTGTTTGCTGAGATCTTCTGACATATCCTGAAACCTTTTGATGCATGGGAGTTCAATAATTTCTCACTTGGTGGTTGTGTTGGTGTTAAATTCCCATGTTTTGCAAAAGCAGCATCCTGCCAAGTGGAAGGAGCGCACAATCGGTCAGTTATCTCTGCTACTTTTCACTTTCCCCAAAGATGTCACTTTTCTCAATTTTTGGCTTATTTGTGATGTGAATGAGGTTGCCACCAAGAACAGAAGTTAGAGAGGGGGTTATCCTATCATCCCTTCCCCCCGTTATCCCCAACTTCCTTGCACAGCGGGGGGTGAGGATGGGAAATAAAAGGGCAACAGGGACAGAACATCGAGAGTGGTCCCATTTTTGGGGTGGATGAAGAAAGTTGGGGTAATAGACCAAGAGAAGGTACTGTTGCTCCGAAGTGCCCCGGGCAGTGATTAACCTTGTCTGAGATAGAAAGCTTGCATAACACCTTAAGCCTTCCTATGGCCCTGCTAAGTGTTTTGGGGTTGCTTAGAAAACTCTGCTCTCCAGGTCCTGGGATGGTGCTGGTAGTGAAGAACAATTTCACACTCTCCATCCGAGAGCAGAACCTGGATTCGGCATCCTTTGTTTACTCTGCAGGTAGCGCGTTTCTTTTCTAATGGATGTGACTGTTCCTTGACTTAGCTGTCCTACATCACCAACTCCTTTAGGGTTTATCGGGTTAAAAAGTGGTCAGGAAACTGCGTGAGTAACTAAGCTGCAGACCTGGAGGGCTGGGAGCAGATTGGTTTTCATTCCCCTCCATGGGTTGTATCAGCAGGAGATGAGCTAGTAGGTGTTGCCGTTTCCTCTTCTCCCCCCAATGATTTGCTGACCTCCTGTGTTTGTGCAAGCCCCTGTATTCTCTTTGCATGATGCTGCATCTTTTTTCATGGCCTTGTGCAGTTGAATGCAGGGGGCTTTCGCTCAGAGTATTGTTTCCCCCCAGCCCCCCCCATTAGCCATGTCTGCATATTGTGTTGTTTGGAGAAGAGCCAGTGCCTCTGCTGATAGGACCCCTTTGGGGAAAAGGGGTGTTTTCTCAGCTCTGCCTGGGTCACTAAATGGCTCTCTCCCCCCCCCCGATCTATGCAAAAGAGAGGAAGAGGGGGCATTGTTGCAAAACTATGGTGTGAGAGTAGTTTTGTCAGTCACAACGCCATGCAGGACTCAGCAGCAGCCCTTGCCATGGAGGGCTACACCAGCAACGTGCCGGCCTTTCTTACCAAGCTGTGGACTCTGGTTGAAGATCCTGAGACGAACCACCTTATCTGCTGGAATACGGTGAGTCTAGCTAATGTTTTGGGATATAAAAGGGTGACCGATGAATTCCAAAGCATTTGGATGTTAGGTATTCAATTCCTGTTAAAGCAATTTGCAGGAAACCAACACTATTTTTAGGGCTGCATATGCATCCTGGGCTGCGTGTTTCTCCGATGCATGTCTGAATGACCCCAGGTATCTTTTTTTTTACTCAGGACAACTCCAGTCCACTGTCCTATTGAAAAGGTCCAAGCAAGGTTTGGTCCTTAGCTTATGCCAGAGGGAGCCAATTCTTTTGGACCGGTGCTGAAGTTTAAATTATTTTCTAATCCACCCAGAGATCTTTGTTACTGAGTGAATCAGAGATTATGGTAATGATAGTATCAGCCATGGCAATAATTAGAAAGTTGATAACCATTCTAATTTTGAAAGTATGTCCTGGGTTCTCAAAGTAGCTGTTGGTGATGGACTCACCAGGTCACAAAAAGATTCATTTACTGGAAGGCAAATAGGTGAAGTTTCTCTTCCTCTTATTCCCTCCTCCTGTTGGTCTCTATCTCATGAAATGTTTGTGGTCCATGAAAGCATTATTGGAAATAGATATGCTAAAAGCTTGTGCTTCTCTGCATGCCAGTTTTCAGGTGGATGGATAGATAGATATGGTTAAAAAAAGATTAGGAGAGACATAGGTGGGCTCAATTAGTACCTGTGGGCACTATGTTGCTTTTTCTGCTCTGTGGACTAAGTTGTAGAGTAAATTTTCCAGTCCATTGTCTTGTCATTGCAAAATAAATTCATTCTTTATAGCCAGCTATCTTGCTTCTGTTTAAAAATATCTTATGTAAAGTCCAATACTTTCACTGCTGAACAGTTTATTCCACAAGATTTTCTCCTGGCATTTCATTGAAATTTCCTTCCTTCTAATTTGAGTCCATTGGTATGGGCCTTACCCTTCAGAGGAACGTCCCAATGCATTGGTCAGACATGTGCCCATAAGCCCCAAAGTAAGAACAGATGTGTCCTAGTATAATAGAGAATAGTCACAGAATAATTGATTTGTGGCTACTGCGTATTTGTTTCACAGTTTCTATAACTTGCCCCAATCTGTAGACTCTAGGTGATGTCCAGCAGAGCAAAAAATACAGAATAAAAGTACAAAGAGATATAATTAATAGAAGTCCTCCAGATGGTAATCAGAAACATTCAATCCTGGCTAAAAATTTAATGGAATAATGGATTTTAGCAGCCTTACAACATGCCAGATGGGAAGGATATGCCATAAATATATGGGAAGCACTTGGAAGGTTTTGGTTTTTTATGCTAGAAGAAAGAACTAAAGGTGTGTAATTATTTTGAACTGTCTTTGGGGATTTAAGGTCCCTTTTAAAAAATTGTTATGTACTGTTCAGCTTCCAGGCAAAATGTCAGTCGTCTTAAGCCTCTTTTCTGCTTAATAATGCATTTCACTGCCCATAAAATAAAATGAAACGTTTTGAACAATGTTAAGAAATCATATAATACCTTAGGATGTTATGTAAACCCAAGTACACTTGCCTTCACCATGTGTTTGCAGACATTTTATTCCTGCTTATCCAGTAAATGAAAGATTCTTGAGTCACTCGCTAATCTATCAGCAGTGTGCAAACACAGAATTAAAATGGGAACATTCAATACATAGACTAGTGTTGAAGGTATGGAAAGTGGAATGGAGAACTTCTGGCCTGCAGGGAACCATCTGGATCACCGAACCTACATAACTGGCCTGCTGAGTTTCAGACAAGAGATCTACTTACTCAACCAAGAGCTGCCACTGCAAGGAATTCTGTGGATCCTGTAGCTGCCGTTTTTAGACAGCCTTCCTCAACTGGGTGTCCTCCATATGTGTAGATTTCAATGCCCAGAATTCCCCAGCCAGCATGATCATTGTTGAGATTCCTGGGAACTGGAAGTCCATACATCTAAGGTTGATACCAATTAGGGAAGCTGTCTCAAGAGTTTGTCGATGCTGATCAGGGAAAGTCAAGGATGCAATGAAGTTGGTTCACTCAGGACCCATCAGGGCAAGGGAAAAACAGTGGTTCTTAGCTGGGCAGATCCCCACCCCATCACTTGGCTCTGGTGGGATGAAGATGAAGTCAGCTGAGAGAGTGTTCTTCCATTCAGGCAAGGTTTGAAGCAATCTTCCGGTATTCACTCAAGTGAAGGAAAGGCTGCCTGTTCAAGAGGAAAAAGCCCAATTAGAGCCCCAGTTATTATCTACAGCATTTCTGAAGTCAATTTCCTTCTGTTAACATCTTACCTGGGGAGCGTGATGCTTCTTTACAATCACCCACCACTGTCTGGGGGCAGAGGCCTATACTTTTGCTTACTACAGTTCAAAAATTGAATTGGGGAGCTGGAAATGATACCCCAAAAAGCTGCTCCTCCCAAATTAGGGGGCTGAAGATTGGAACAAAGTCAGTGAGGGGAAGTCATGATAACACTTCCAATGAAACAGGAACCTAACTACATTTTCCTCCCTCTCATGCTAGCGAGATTTGAAATTTGGAAAAGGAAGAACTTGTTTTGTTAGTTAAATCAGATGCCATCAAGTTGAGTTCATCGGAAACTGCCTAGACAGATGCTCTACCACCTTGTCCTTCTTCCAGTAATCATCTGTAGCTGTTCTTCCTTGATCCTCTTCATCCATCTTACCTTCATGACCCCATTTTCTATTTATTCAACCTTGCCTTGTGTAATAATGTTGTCCTCTCCATCATCCTAACATCTAGCTAAATTGTGGAAATCATAACTACTTGATATGAGGGTCACAAATTTGCATGGCTTTAAAAGGGGCTTGGGAATTCATGGAGTGGACAGGGTTATTGGTGGGTGCTAAATATGATGGCTGTCATCTCCATCAAAAGAAAGGTCAGCTGCAGGGAGACGCAGTTGGAGTGGGCTCGTGGGCTCCTGTCTGTGCTTGTGAGCTTCACAAATGTGCTGGCTACTCTCTGACACAGAATGATGGACTGACTCAGCCCTTGGGCTGGTCCAGCACAGCTCTTGTTACGTGAAAGGCTTTTTGATAACCTCAATGCCTGCTTGAATTTATCAACCTCCAGAGTTGCTGGACTGTCATCCGCACCCAGGATGCTGGCTGTGGTAAAAACATGGGTTTTCCAGAAAACGCTGAATCAGAAAAAATTCTGGAAAGAAACTTCCTAGGCCAATGAAGATGATTTGAATGACCATATCTTCTTCAGTATTCATCACTTGCATAAGTATTTAGGCTACATTATTTGATGTGGGGAAAACTCAGTTAAATCTACCCTATTTTTTCAGGTCTGAGCATTGTATTCAAAGAAATCAAAGCTCTGGGATCTGGAAAAAGACTGTTGGAAATAATACTGGGCATGAGATGGTAAAATGATATGTAATTTCAATGTATGTTTAGCTGCTTGGTTTCACTGACCACCTGCAAAACAAAGCTTGTGCAACTTTGCATCTGCCACATTGGGCCTGAAGTAGAAACAGAAGGAGAATTTTGACCTGGGCTTGGACTACGGCCGTTGAGAGCACCGCCACATTTGGAGGTTGCTTGTGATACAAGCTTCCCCATTTTTAAGATTGCTGATGGAAGACCTTTGCTCTGTCTTTCCCTGAAGATTGCTGTCTTCAGTGGCAGGGTAAAGTGCCACCTGTATGTCGGGTGGCTCCCTGTTTCTAGAACTCTTGCTCTAAGGCAGTGTTTCTCAACTTTGGGAACTTTAAGATGTGTGGACTTCAACTCCCATGCTGGCTGGGGAATTCTGGGAGTTG